AGTGATGCAACTTGGGCCATCTTCACATGTTATGAATTCCTACTTGTGTTTTTATTGCTGGTCTCTGAAAAGATTATAAGGTTCATAAGTCGTTGGGAATATTAGGAAGTTGGGTCTAAATTATCTTCATTGCCTGAAGGATTATGATTAACAAACAGCCCCCCCCCCAAAAAAAAACAGAAACAAAAAAACCTCACTGCCCTCTAATCAATGCCAACTGACAGCAAGCAACCCTACAGGACCGGGCAGAACTGCCCCTGTGGGGTTTGGGGTTTCCAAGTCTGCAAAGCTTTACGGAAGTAGAAAGTCCCCCTGTCTTTCTCCCACAGACAGGCTGTGGCTTCGAACTGCTGACCTTGTGGTTAGCCCAACTCGTCACCCACGACGCCACCAGGGGCCTGTGACGCCGTCACACAGCTTGCCAAATTCCCTGAGACACGGGCCAAGCGGACATCGACGTTGAATAAGTCCATGACGGCGGGCAAGGATCATCGTGTGTCCGAAACAAACACCAAGCCATGAAGGAACACAGAGGACTGTCAAACTGGAGCTAAGGCATCGACAACAGAGCCGAGACAAACCAGCGCTAGAAGAAACTCAACCGGAATGCTCCTGAGAAGCAAGGGTGGCAAGACTGGGCCACGCTGAATCAGACATCGCCAGGAGAGACCAGTGGCTGGAGAGATGGACCGAGGCGGCAGCAGCTCACAGGCTGATGACTGTGTGGGTGGCAGCCTGGGACCAGCCACGCTCAGCTCTGTGGGACACCAGGACACCATGCATTGGAGCAGACACAGTGGCACCGAAGCAGCACCACTAGGAGCCACTGGGGGAGGCGGGTGAGAAACTGCGTGGTCATCAGTACAAGCAGAGGAGTCAGTCTGGGCTGCCACATGCCCTGCGAGTCGAGGAATTGCTGTCCCCTTTCTAGAACCTGTAATTTCATCGGGGACTGCCAAGTGCATCTGGAAGCCCAGAAGTGGGCTTTCCCCATGGTGGGCACCTCTCCATCCCCACCATCACCCCGCCCCCTGCACTGTTCCAGACATGGGCTGCATGTGGCCCCTGGCCTCGAGCACCTGTTACCTAGGATGGGGGCTCCAGCGGCTGGCCTGGGAGCCATGGCAGGGCTGGCTGCAGAACCTGGCTCCAGGGCGCACTACCTCTGTCCCTGGAGACCTCGAACACATGTTCTGACTGGGATCAGAGGCAGGGCACCAGGTGGAGCCCGGGCTACCCCCTGAGGCCCCCCAAGCAGCCACAGTGGGCCCTGGATGCAAGCAAGGGGCGGACAGCCCTGGGACACCAGCAGACACCACTACTGGTATCTGTGGCGTCAAAGCCATGACTGCTGTGCGTGACCATTCTCCCTGCCCTGTAGCTCACGGGTGCCCTGTGGGTTTGGTGTCCAGGTGAGGGCACACTGGAGTGTTAGGGCAGGCCTTCCAATAGTCCTTTTGGGTGACTATCCTCTGCCTTGAGGCAGCTGGCAGTGCCAGCGAGCTGAGCCCCTCCCCATGTCACACCATCCCAGCGAGGGCCCTGGCAGAGGATCAGTGGATACAGGCACCCCACATGGGCAGGCCGAGTGGCTGCCCACAGTTCTTTCCCTCAGTCCTCTGGGGGCTCGGAACAACTCTGTTGGGGTGGCCCACATGCCTGTTGAGGGGGCTTGGGGCCCAGCCTCAAGGAGACCTGACTCAGGTGGACAGACCCCCAGGGAAGCCACAGGCCAGACGGCATGCAAGGTCGCACTGTCCCTGTCGCTGTCCCTGTGGGCATTGCAGTTGCCCATGGTGGGGACTGTGGGGCCGTGTAGGACCTTCCCTGCATCTGTCGCTCACAAGGCTCCAAGGCTCACATCCAGAGCCGGCCCTCCCCCCAGCGCGCCCCCCGTGGCGTGCTCAGAGCTACAAGCCTAGAGCCTGGTGCTCTCCTTGGCAACGCGCTGACGCAGACGCAGATGCAGACACCACCGAGTTGAGCTGGGGGGGAAGCTCCGTCCGCAGGCAACCGCCCTCCCCACCCCCAAGCTTTCCCCAGTGGGCATCTAGGCCCAGCCCCCAGCCCCATCCAGGGCTGCCTCCCTGGGCTGGTGCCTTCCCAGGCGGGGTTGTTGGGGGGGGAGGACATAGGCATGAGGGGGGCTAGGGGCGGGACTGGGGCGGCAGGGATGGGGAAGGTGTTGTCTTTCACCCGAGACTTTGCTGGCAAAGCATGAAAGGTCACAACCATCTGGAATCCACGGATTCCCGGCCTCGCTGAGTTTCCCGGAGAATTTCCTTTTCTGGTGAACAGCCGTCTCCTGGGCCTGCGAGCGCTGGGGGGTGCAGCCCCTCCCTCTGACATGCCCAGAACTGGCAAGCCTAGGGACACCCCTGCCCACACAGGCGCTGGGCCTCACTGAGACCCTGTACCGCCCTCCTGCCCATCCCAGAAATCTCTTTCACAGAGCCCGGTACTTGAGGGCCTGCAGGTGCCTGGGCGTGGCCAATGAGGGCCGGGAGCAGGGTGGCCACGTGCCCACCAGCACCCACCAGATTAGACTCCCTCACTGGGAGGCAGCAGCAGTGCTTGGGCTGTACCCGTCCCTGGGGCTCCAGACTGCCTCCTTGTCGACAGGCTCAGAGAGCGGGGGACAGGCCAGGGTCCCAAGGGAACATGGCCAGCCCAGACCCTGTGGGAAGAGCCCTGGCAAAGTGCTGCCAAGTGTGGTCTTCACGGCGCAGCCACACCCAGCCTGCAGGGAAGGATGAGGGTGCCCCTGGGACACACAACCCCTCGTGGGGGTGGTATGCCGAGCTAGCAGGGGCTTGCCCTCCCCCACCTGAGCGACCTCTTCTCCAGGGACCCGAGGGAACAATCCAGAGTGAGGCCACAGCAAGACCGGCCCAGTCTGGCTCCACACTCCAGCAGGGGAAGGCTGGAGGGGCTGGCCTCCACCACGGCCCCCTACCCCCCACAGCAATCAGCCTCCTACCTTCCCTCCAGGGGCACCCCTCCCCAGTGCTGAGGCTTAGCCCTGGTGAAAATGGTACTCTCACAGGCCCCCTAATACCCACCCTGCCCCCTCCCCTAGCCCCAACCGTCAGCCCCCACAGGCCACAGCCAGACGCTTCCGGAATCCTGTCTCTCAACAGTTCTGACTTCTGTCTCTGCCCCAGAAGTTCATGGTCAAGAGCAGACAGTGGCCCAAGGCCAGGTGACCTTCCAGTCCCAGACTGGCTAGGGTTCGTCCCCCCATCCCACCCCACTCCCACCCCCTTCCAATCCCTGGTAGAGCCACCACCACCTGCATCACCCCTAGGACCTGGAATCCCGCCTTTGAACTCACTCCCACATAGAAACGCTCTCTCCCAACACCCCAGACCCCACGGCCCCAAGAACCGGCGTGTACCCTGCAGGTCCAGGCGCCGGGGCCAAGGTGATCGCCTGGAGGGGCCCCAGCCTTCCTGTCACGAGCCTGCCCCGTGCACCGCTTACCGTCTGGTTGTCTTCGTAGAGCTTGAGGTCATAGCCACTGAGCTCGACGCAGAAGATGATGGCGGTGACGCCTTCGAAGCAGTGGATCCACTTTTTGCGCTCAGAGCGCTGGCCGCCCACGTCCACCATCTTGAAAGTGAGCTCCTTGAAGGTGAACTTGTTCTCCACGATGCCCGTGGTCATGTCCCGGGAGCGCAGGATGTCCTCCACGGTGGGGATGTAGTCGGGCGCGGCGATGCGCTCCAGGTCGTTCAGGTAGTAGGCGGCGTTGTCCTCCAGGTGGTACTCGCTGGAGCGGCCGAAGCAGGCCTGCGCGCCCGGGTCGGCCCACAGCCGCCGCATGACGCCCAGCAGCTCGGGCGTGATCTCGCCCTTGCTCTCGGCCGGCCCGGTCAGCGCGAACAGCTGCACGGCGTCGTAGGCGCGGTCGGGGTTGTGGAAGTCCATGCGCAGGGCGGCCAGCGCGCGGATGATGCGCGTCAGCGAGTCGATGGCGTTGTAGATGATGAGCGGCCGGTACTCCTGGCAGGCGTCCAGGTTGAAGCCGCCGCTGTGGATGATCTTCATCTGCTTCACGATGGTGCTCTTGCCCGAGTTGCTGGTGCCCAGCAGCAGCAGCTTGATCTCGCGCCGCTGCCTCTGGCTCTCCGAGCGCAGGTGGCGGTCAATCCGCCGGGACCGCCGGGCCGCCTCCTTTTCCTCCGAGCTTTGCCGGCATCCCATGGTCCCGCAGCGGCGGGATGGCGGGAGGGGCGTGGGGGGACCACGAGGGGAGAGTGGTGCTTTGTGTGTGTGTGTGTGTGTGTGTGTGTGTGTGTGTGTGTATGCATATACACATATATACTGTGATATTTTTAAAAATTATGTACCTGTTTGTAGGAAAGTAGTAATTTTT